AGTTGACGGGTGTATCAGGAGATAAGATGTTTTCTAATGGTAGTTTTGAAGGTGATGAATGTGTCTGCAGTTCTAGAGTTCTCAGGTAGGGTATTCCAGATTTTAGGGCCTTTGACATACATTGAATTTTTGTAAAGGTTTAGTCGGACACGGGGAATGTCGTAGAGATGTTTGTGTCTGGTGTTATGCCTGTGGGTTCTGTCACAACTATCGAGAAAGCGTTTTAGGTCAAGGTTGATATTAGAGTTTAAGGCCCTGTAGATGTAGATTGCACAGTAGTAAGTGTGGATGTACTGAACTGGGAGTAAGTTTAGATCTATGAAGAGTGGGGGGTGTGTTGCCAGGGATGGGATTTAGTGATTATTCTTACTGCAGCTTTTTGTTGGGTTATTATTGGCTTTAGGTGTGTTGCTGCAGTTGATCCCCAAGCACAAATAGCATAGGTGAGGTATGGATAAATAAGTGAGTGGTATAGTGTGAGAAGGGCATTTTGCGGCATGTAGTATCGTATCTTGGAGAGGATCCCAACCGTTTTGGATACTTTTTTGGCTATATGCTGGATATGGGTGCTGAAATTCAGGTTGTTGTCAAGGTATAAGCCTAGGAATTTTCCCCCATTATTTCTGGTAATTCGAGTGTTGTCAATCTTAATGTTAATTTGTGCATCTCCTGCTCTGCTACCAAACATAATATAGTAAGTTTTGTCAGTGTTAAGCGTAAGTTTATTGGCTGTCATCCAAGTCGATATTTTAATCAGCTCCTCATTCACAATGGTGTTGAGGGTGGCAAGATTAGGGTGAGAGATGACATAAGTCGTGTCATCAGCAAAGAGAATGGGTTTCAGGTGTTGGGATACGTTTGGAAGGTCATTGATGTATATGAGGAAGAGCAGGGGACCAAGGACACTTCCCTGCGGAACTCCAGTATCAAGTGGCCGTGTTGCTGATGCTGTGTCTTTAATGGTGACGTACTGATACCTATTAGTAATGTAAGATTTGAAATAAGCAAGCGCATGGCCTCTTATACCGTAGTGGTCAAGTTTGTGGAGTAGGATGTCGTGGTCTACTGTGTCAAAAGCTTTTCTTAGGTCAATAAAAATTCCTAGTGGATATTCCTTATTTTCCAATGCTGTGTAAAGCAGATCTAGCATTTTTATGATTGCATCATTAGTGCTTTTATTTTTCCTGAATCCAAACTGGCAGGGTTTGAGTATGTTTTGTGCCGTTATAAATGAATACAGTCTCCTGTGCACGAGTTTCTCAAAGATTTTGGATAGCAACATAGTTTCCCCTGTCATACATCACACAACAGTTTCCCCTGTCATACATGACACAACATAGTTTCGCCTGTAATACATCACACAACAAAGTTTCCCCTGCCATACATCATACAACATAGTTTCCCCTGTCATACATCATCACACAACAGTTTCCCCTGTCATACATCATCACGCAACATAGATTCCCCTGTCATACATCATCACAGAACATAGTTTCCCCTGTCATACATCACACAACATAGTTTCCCATGTCATACATCATCACACAACATAGTTTTCCCTGTCATACATAACACAACATAGTTTATTGTTATAGTAAGTTACAAGGGAGAGAGGGCCAAGTGTCAGCAGCAAGTCAAGTGTTGTAAGTAAGCGAGGTAACACCAGCCTCAGTCTTGCTGCCTCGTTCATGCTGTCTTAAGTAAGTTTATTCACGTATACACACTTACATTGATTATCATACTTACCAGCATATGTGTAGAACCTGTGGTAACCCAAAAAAGTCAGGCAAAGTGATTTATTTCCATTAGGTTCCTGGGCACTTTCTACCTTCCTGCTGTGTCCATGGCCCCTCACGGAAGGTTCCTTGAAGTTGGTGAGGGGCTCTTGATTTAGGGAATTGGATCTGTGCTCCAGTTCCCCAAATTAAGCCTGAATGCCTTCCACATACCCCCCGGCGCTGTATAACCCTACGGGTTTAGCGCTTCCCCTTGATTATAATAATAATAATGTGTCCATGGCACTTTCTACCTTCCTGCTGTGTCCACGGCACTTTCTACCTTCCTGTTGTGTCCATGGCACTTTCTACCTCCCTGCTGTGTCCATGGCACTTTCTACCTCCCTGCTGTGTCCATGGCACTTTCTACCTTCCTGTTGTGTCCATGGCACTTTCTACCTTCCTGTTGTGTCCATGGCACTTTCTACCTCCCTGCTGTGTCCATGGCACTTTCTACCTCCCTGCTGTGTCCATGGCACTTTCTACCTTCCTGCTGTGTCCATGGCACTTTCTACCTTCCTGCTGTGTCCATGGTACTTTCTACCTTCCTGCTGTGTCCATGGCACTTTCTACCTTCCTGCTGTGTCCATGGTACTTTCTACCTTCCTGCTGTGTTCATGGCACTTTCTACCTTCCTGCTGTGTTCATGGCACTTTCTACCTTCCTGCTGTGTTCATGGCACTTTCTACCTTCCTGCTGTGTCCATGGTACTTTCTACCTTCCTGCTGTGTCCATGGTACTTTCTACCTCCCTGCTGTGTCCATGGTACTTTCTACCTCCCTGCTGTGTCCATGGTACTTTCTACCTCCCTGCTGTGTCCATGGTACTTTCTACCTCCCTGCTGTGTCCATGGCACTTTCTACCTTCCTGCTGTGTCCATGGCACTTTCTACCTTCCTGCTGTGTCCATGGCACTTTCTACTTCCTTGCTGTGTCCATGGTACTTTCTACCTCTCTGCTGTGTCCATGGTACTTTCTACCTTCCTGCTGTGTCCATGGCACTTTCTACTTCCTTGCTGTGTCCATGGTACTTTCTACCTCCCTGCTGTGTCCATGGTACTTTCTACCTCCCTGCTGTGTCCATGGTACTTTCTACCTCCCTGCTGTGTCCATGGTACTTTCTACCTCCCTGCTGTGCCCATGGTACTTTCGACCTTCCTACTGTGTCCATGGTACTTTCTACCTCCCTGCTGTGTCCATGGTACTTTCTACTTCCTTGCTGTGTCCATGGTACTTTCTACCTCTCTGCTGTGTCCATGGTACTTTCTACCTTCCTGCTGTGTCCATGGCACTTTCTACTTCCTTGCTGTGTCCATGGTACTTTCTACCTCCCTGCTGTGTCCATGGTACTTTCTACCTCCCTGCTGTGTCCATGGTACTTTCTACCTCCCTGCTGTGTCCATGGTACTTTCTACCTCCCTGCTGTGCCCATGGTACTTTCGACCTTCCTACTGTGTCCATGGTACTTTCTACCTCCCTGCTGTGTCCATGGTACTTTCTACCTCCCTGCTGTGTCCATGGCACTTTCTACCTTCCTGCTGTGTCCATGGTACTTTCTACCTTCCTGCTGTGTCCATTTACTTTCTACCTTGCTGCAGTGTCAATGGCACTTTCTACCTTCCTGCTGTGTCCATGGTACTTTCTACCTTCCTGCAGTGTCCATGGCACTTTCTACCTTCCTGCTGTGTCCATGGCACTTTCTGCCTCCCTGCTGTGTCCATGGTACTTTCTACCTTCCTGAAGTGTCCATGGCACTTTCTACCTCCCTGCTGTGTCCATGGCACTTTCTACCTTCCTGCTGTGTCCATTTTACTTTCTACCTTCCTGCAGTGTCCATGGCACTTTCTACCTTCCTGCAGTGTCCATGGTACTTTCTACCTTCCTGCTGTGTCCATGGCACTTTCTACCTTCCTGCTGTGTCCATGGTACTTTCCACCTTCCTGCTTTGTCCATGGCACTTTCTACCTTCCTGCTGTGTCCATGGCACTTTCTACCTTCCTGCTGTGTCCATGGTACTTTCTACCTTCCTGCTGTGTCCATGGTACTTTCTACCTTCCTGCTGTGTCCATGGTACTTTCTACCTCCCTGCTTTGTCCATGGCACTTTCTACTTCCCTGCTGTGTCCATGGCACTTTCTACCTCCCTGCTGTGTCCATGGCACTTTCTACCTCCCTGCTGTGTCCCTGGCACTTTCTACCTCCCTGCTGTGTCCATGGCACTTTCTACCTCCCTGCTGTGTTCATGGTACTTTCTAGCTCCCTGCTGTGTCCATGGCACTTTCTAGCTCCCTGCTGTGTCCATGGCACTTTCTACCTTCCTGCTGTGTCTATGACACTTTCTACCTCCCTGCTGTGTCCCTGGCACTTTCTACCTCCCTGCTGTGTCCATGGCACTTTCTACCTCCCTGCTGTGTTCATGGTACTTTCTACCTCCCTGCTGTGTCCATGGCACTTTCTACCTCCCTGCTGTGTCCCTGGCACTTTCTACCTCCCTGCTGTGTCCATGGCACTTTCTACCTCCCTGCTGTGTTCATGGTACTTTCTAGCTCCCTGCTGTGTCCATGGCACTTTCTAGCTCCCTGCTGTGTCCATGGCACTTTCTACCTTCCTGCTGTGTCCATGGCACTTTCTACCTTCCTGCTGTGTCCATGGCACTTTTTGCCTCCCTGCTGTGCCCATGGCACTTTCTACCTCCCTGCTGTGTCCATGGCACTTTCTACCTCCCTGCTGTGTCTATGGCACTTTCTACCTCCCTCCAGTGTTCATAGCACTTTCTACCTTCCTGCTGTGTCCATGGCACTTTCTACCTCCCTGCTTTGTCCATGGCACTTTCTACTTCTCTGCTGTGTCCATGGCACTTTCTACCTCCCTGCTATGTCCATGGCACTTTCTACCTTCCTGCTGTGTCTATGACACTTTCTACCTCCCTGCTGTGTCCATGACACTTTCTACCTTCCTGCTGTGTCCATGGCACTTTCTACCTCCCTGCTGTGTCCATGGCACTTTCTACCTCCCTGCTGTGTCCATTACACTTTCTACCTCCCTGCTGTGTCCATTACACTTTCTACCTCCCTGCTGTGTTCATGGGACTTTCTGTCTCCCTGCTGTGTCCATGGCACTTTCTACCTCCCTGCTGTGTCCATGGCACTTTCTACCTCCCTGTTGTGTCCTTGGCACTTTCTACCTTCCTGCTGTGTCCATGGCACTTTCTACCTCCCTTCTGTGTCCATGGCACTTTCTACCTTCCTGCTGTGTCCATGGCTCTTTCTACCTCCCTGCTGTGTCCATGGCACTTTCTACCTTCCTGCTGTGTCCATGGCACTTTCTACCTTCCTGCTGTGTCCATGGCACTTTCTACCTTCCTGCTGTGTCCATGGCACTTTCTACCTTCCTGCTGTGTCCATGGTACTTCTTACCTTCCTGCTGTGTCCATGGCACTTTCTACCTTCCTGCTGTGTCCATGGCACTTTCTACCTTCCTGCTGTGTCCATGGCACTTTCTACCTTCCTGCTGTGTCCATGGCACTTTCTACCTTCCTGCTGTGTCCATGGCTGAGGGACTGATTACCTCATCTTTTGCATACAATTCTTCACATTAAGTCGTAGTATTGTATCAGTAAGACAGATGTTGCATGTGTCTAACTCATCATGAATTATACTTGAAGAAAAGTTTGAAGATAAGATGTAAACACAACATTGTTGCTACATGTACAGTGGTACCTCGGGTTACGAACACCTCAAAATTTAAACAATTATGTAAGTGTATTTATGCAAGTGCTTTTGTAAGTGTATTTTTGGGGGTCTGAAACGGATTAATTTAATTTACATTATTTCTTATGGGAACAAATTCATTCTGTATCAGCACTTGAACAGCTTTCTGGAACGAAAAAAAGTTCATGTCCCAAGGTACCACTGTATTTGAATTTATTTTTGTTCTTCAGATTCATTGTTGAATACCGTTATCCTTCATTTTGTGCTGTAAATATGTTTGAAGGCCATGGCAGCTGTAATAAACTCATTTAATCCATAAACACTTAATTCCACATAAAAATATTGATTGAGCTTCACACACTGTACTGATTGCGTATGATGAATGCATATTGCATACATATACCTGGAGAGGTTTTTGGGGGTCAATGCCCCCGCAACCCGATCTGTGACCAGGCCTCGTGGTAGATCAGAGCCTGATGAACCGGGCTGTTACTGCTGGTTGCACGTAAACCAACGTAGGAACCACAGCCTGGCTGGTCATGTACTGATTTTTATAGAATTATCGATAGAAATAAAACATCACTTAGAGAATTTGCATACAGCAAATCTAAGTAAAACAAGGGAAAACTGTACTCGAAAAGAAATCTTACTGTAGCTGCAAGTCAACTCAGCTGCCACACAAGACACAACCTCTCAACATATTTAATACAGTAACATATTCATTATTCTAAAACAGAGATTGAAATAAATTATATTTTGTTGTATGAAATGATTAAACCTACATTTTTTATTCTAGCGCTTCGCACATGATAAAAGTGTCAGTGTGACAAGTGGAGGAAATCCCTCAGTATACAGTACACAACTGCAGGATCACTTGCTGGCATAGAAGTGCTAAAGGACAGGTCTCTAGGTGAGTTGAAATTCAGATTCAATTTCAAGTTTTTATTTCTTTGCAAAGTTTACAATGTGTGACTTACATGTTATAATGAGTCTATTTCCATGCATAGTTTACAATGTGTAATTAGAATATTGATTTGCTAAGTGCAAAGAAAGCCACTGTTATGCCGAGACATTTCGGGCAGACTAAACCTAATGTTTTACACACTACATAATGCTAGACATATATATCATAGTTGGTTTGAATTTAACATTGTTTTTTATATGTCAGCAGAGATAGTAATGGTTCAGCAGTAATTAAATTAACAGGTAGTTGAATAACAAGTTACAGTATTATATTTTAGCACATTATACTTATAATAAGATTGAGACCATTTTAGTTTTGAAATAATCTTATAAAAATCTGGCAATTTTTGGGTTAAAGGTGGCGATAGTATATAGTGTTGTGTTGTTAGTTTTGGGAGATTAGGCGAGTTCTAAGTAGAGCCTTGAATTGGTGTGCAGGCAGCAGGGGCCCTCTTGTATGTTCAGGCAATGAATTTCAGATCTTAGGGCCCTTTATATGCATTACATTTTTGCATAGAGAGAGATGGACACAAGGGATATCAAAGAGTGTTTTGTGTCTCGTGTTATGTAAGTGCTTTCTATTGTAGTTCTCAAGAAGGAGTTTGAGGGGAGGGTTTATATTGGAGAATAATGTCCTGTGTATTTAGTAGGCACAATAATATAAGTGGATATTTTGTATGTTAACCCCTTCTCCTGTATAAATTACTAAATTTAAAAAGAGAAACTTTCGTTTTTCCTTTTGGGCCAGCGCCTCAGTGGGATACGACCGGTTTGTTGAAAGAAGAAAGAGTTTGTATATTAAGCAGGTTCAAGCTCTTAAATAGTGGTTGGGTGTGTTGCCTGGCACAGGAGTTTGTAATCATTCTCAGAGCAGCTTTCTCTTGTATACTTAAAGGTTTAAGTGATTTGCTGTGGTTGAACCCCATGCACAAATACCATAAGTGAGATAAGGGTAGATGAGAGAGTGGTAAAGAGCAAGAAGTGCCATTTGGGGTACATGATACCTATCTTAGAGAGGATGCCTACTGTTTTGGAGATTTTTTTGGAAATATGCTGTTTGTGGGTCTGAAATTTAAAATGGCTGTCAATGTGGAGCTCTAGAAATTTTCCATCAGTGTGTCTTGAAATGGAGGAACCATTTATCGATATGTTTAGTTGAATATTTGCAGCTCTGTTACCAAACAGGGTGAAGTAGGCTTTGTTGATATTGAGAGTAAGTTTGTTGGCCATCATCCAAGTGGATATTTTTAGCAGCTCATCATTTACAGTGTTTCTAAGTATGATTTGGTTTGGGTGAGAGAAGATATAGGTGTCATCTGCAAAAAGAACAGATTTAAGTAGTTTGGAGGCATTAGGGAGATCATTGATGTAAATGAGAGAGTAGTGGTCCAAGGACATTGCCCTGGGGGACTTCAACTAGAACAGGATGTGTGGTGGAGGCAACACCATTTGTGTATACATACTGGTGTGAGTTGCTAACATATGATTTAAGGTAATTTGAGTGAGTGTCCTATGACCCCATAATGTTCAAGTTTTTGGTGCAAGAGATCATGGTCAACTGTATCAAATGCTTTCCATAGGTCTATGAAGAGGCCCAGTGAAATTTCCTTTTTTTTCCAGCACCGTATGTAGTAGCTCAAGCATAAGTATAATTGCATCATTTGTGCTTTTGCTCGGTCTAAATCCAAACTGGCAGGGGTTAAGTATGTTGTGGGATACAAGGCAGGAGTAAACTTGCTTGTGTATTATTTTTTCGAAGATTTTAGATAAAAGGGGTAGGTTTGATATAGGTCTCTAGTTATATTTAAATCAATAGGATCACCTTTGTGGATTGGTGTAACCCTTGCTGTCTTGAGCAGGGATAGGAAGGTTGAAGATGCAATGGACTTGTTAAAAAGTGTTGCAATAATGGGTAACAACAAATGGGAAGCTTTTTTATACATAAATGGTGGTAAGCTATTTAGGTCTCCTGCCTTGCTCTTTAGTGTTTTGATGATGAGTGAGATTTCAGTAGGATTTGTTGGGGCTAGGAAAAGAGTATTTGGGTAGTTGCCAGTGAGGTAGTTTTTTTGGTGTATGTTTGAGTTTAGGATTTTGCTTGCTAGTGTTGTTCCTACAGTGGAAAGAAAAACATTTAGTTTGTTGGCAGTATCTGTCAACGGGATGAGAGGTTCATTAAGTTTGGTTAGGTTAATTACATTATTTTGAGACAGTTTCCTAGATCCTAGAATTTCATAGGGGGTTTTCCAATTCTTTTTCATATCCCCGTTTATGTCATAAAATCTGTTTTCGTAATACAGTGTTTTTGCCTTTCATATTACATTTGCAAGCATCGACGAGTATCGTTTCATCTGTTCCTTCGTAATTTGACCCAGTATGTACTGTTTTTTGTCAGTGAAAGTGAGGATCTTAATATTACGGATTGCGAAAAAGATTTAGGAGTTCTGGTTGGCAGTAATCTGAAACCAAGACAACAGTGCATAAGTGTTCGCAATAAAGCTAATAGAATCCTTGGCTTCATATCAAGAAGCATAAATAATAGGAGTCCTCAGGTTGTTCTTCAACTCTATACATCCTTGGTTAGGCCTCATTTAGATTATGCTGCACAGTTTTGGTCACCTTATTACAGAATGGATATAAATTCTCTGGAAAATGTACAAAGGAGGATGACAAAGTTGATTCCATGTATCAGAAACCTTCCCTATGAGGATAGACTAAGGGCCCTGAATCTGCACTCTCTAGAAAGACGTAGAATTAGGGGGGATATGATTGAGGTGTATAAATGGAAGACAGGAATAAATAAAGGGGATGTAAATAGTGTGCTGAAAATATCTAGCCTAGACAGGACTCGCAGCAATGGTTTTAAGTTGGAAAAATTTAGATTCAGGAAGGATATAGGAAAGTACTGGTTTGGTAATAGAGTTGTGGATGAGTGGAACAAACTCCCAAGTACCGTTATAGAGGCCAGAACGTTGTGTAGCTTTAAAAATAGGTTGGATAAATACATGAGTGGATGTGGGTGGGTGTGAGTTAGACCTGATAGCTTGTGCTACCAGGTCGGTTGCCGTGTTCCTCCCTTAAGTCAATGTGACCTGACCTGACTAGGTTGGGTGCATTGGCTTAAGCCGGTAGGAGACTTGGACCTGCCTCGCATGGGCCAGTAGGCCTTCTGCAGTGTTCCTTCGTTCTTATGTTCTTATGTTTGTAAGCCAGGGGCTGTTTAGTCTCTTGGCTGTGATTTGTTTTGTTTTTATCGGACAATGTCTGTTATAGAGGTTTTGGGTTTTTTGCAAAATTCTTTTTAAACATTCATCAGTATCGAGGCTAGGTGCTAGCTCACTTTGCCAGTCAATATTACTTAACCCTTAAATGGTCCAAACGTATATATACGTTTTTTCAACATCTGAAAGTATGTAAAAAAATGTAATCTTCTTTTTCGTTTTACATTTGAAAACGTGTAAAAAAAACTTTTATCTATATTTTTTTTTGTTATATTTGAAAATATGTAAAAAAAGTAGATCTACTTTTGTAGCAATATGAATTTGAACGTCGATCTGTTTGGACCGTTTAAAGGTTAATGTTGAAATAAAATTATTTACAGATGTTTCATCATGTAGTCGGAAAGAGGTCTTACTTGTGTCCTGAGGGAGTTTACATAAGTTTGTTATGAGAAAGGTGGGATAGTGGTCTGTGGAGTTATCTGTGATGATGCCTGCTTTTAGTGGGGATATAGTGTTAGTTCTGATATGGTTGAGTAGTGAGGCACTTGTCTCGGTATTCTTGTTGGTTTGGTTATAGAAGGTAGGAGTAAGCAGTTGCTCATAGTGTTAGTGAATTCAGTTACTTGTGGGCTGTGTTCATGGATGAGGTTAATATTGAAGTCACCTGTAAGTATAATGATGTCTGTTCATATCTGCATCAGTTATCATGTTTCTTAGGTTTTTGTTAAATGTGCAAATATTTGAGTGAGGTGCTCTGTAGATAGCTCCAACTGTTATGGGTTTTTTAAGGTTTTTGAACTTGAATTCTGCAAATGTATATTCACCATTTTCATTCCTGGTTCAGGTAGATTTGATGCATTCAAGTTCATCAGAGTAGTAGATTGCTGAGCCTCCTATTTGATTAGGCCTACAGTTGTGTATGACTGTGTAACCAGGTATAGCAAAGATGCTTGCAACGTCATGTTTAAGCCGGGTTTCGGTGAAAGTTATGATTGACATACATATGTAATGGCATGCAGGGAACTGAGTAATGCTAGGAGGTCATCAAAGTGTTTACTCAATGACCTGACATTATACTGTAATTGAATACTGTTATATTATTGTTGGTACTGAGTAGTGTCTTGGCCTGACTAGCAGTGTAGTATTGTTAGGATTGTTTATGTCATTTAATAAGAGGTTGATATCAGGATCGATGTTAACATTCATATGACTAATGAGGAATGTATGTACTACTAATATTAAAAGTACTCTATTAACTAATAAGAAGGATTGAAATATTGACTTAGACAATATTGCACACAGGACTTAATATTGCACGAGCTAATATGAAGAGCTCACAAATGGCAGTAAAAAGTGTAAGTATCAAGGGTCTATTTAAGAAATGAAAGAGGAAATGAATATACAGAGCTTAAAATTAAAAAATACTAATTGAAAGTAAGGGGAAGGAATAATAAAAGTGAAAATAATTTTGACCAAAAATTTTTAGAGGTTTGTGAATATATATTATTGTAAGTTGGAAGCTTGTTGAATAAAAAATGTATGGCAGATAGTAATAATGGGATTCAACAAATCTAGAGATAATAAAATAGTAAAATTTGGTGTTTGAAATTACGAGTAAAACAGTAAATATAAACACTATAAAGGGTAGTGGCCTGCACTTGGGAGTTTGGAAAGCAGACTGCAAGGTATAATAGTTATATAACAAGTAAATAATTGTACAAGGTAA